CTTCAACTCCCAGCATGGCTGGCTGGGGAATTCTGGGAGTTGAAGTCCACACATCTTAAAGTCGCTAAGGTTGAGAAACACTGCTAGAGGCCAACCTCTTGACACCCCAGGAACCACACAACAATCTTGCTCAGCATTGTGGCTCTACCTCTAAGTGAGGAATGCAACACTGTCAGACCCAGGGTTGGGAGTGGCCCCAGAATCCTTCCAAAAGTTACCCCTGAACCGTAAGGTCTATATGGCTAAAATGCACATTCTTGAATATATAAGGAGTAAGGAGTTAATTGCATTTCATTACTTTTTAATATGACTTAAATTCATTCAGGGTCCCCCCCCCCCGAATCAGCCCAATTCTTTTATCTGACCTCACCCCCTTTTCTGGAGTGTAGCCTCAACATGCTGATCTAAAGCCAAATATTGTCCTTGACCTAATGAAAGTGGTGCACCCCTGTTATAAATACTTGGTCTGCCCCTTGGTCTCCTGTTGGGGCAGAGTTAAGATATCGTGGCCTATTGCCATGACAAAGGAGCAGAACTGTCATGGCAACAGGAAATGTTCTGCTTGGTCCCTGAAGTTCTACCCCGGGTGGCTACAGCTTCAGATATTGGAATCAGTCTTGTCTCCCCAGGAGAACTGGAATCAGAAGCCAGGGATGAGATGAGGAGCACATTTGTTTATCTGTGCTTCTTTAAAAGAAAGAACCATGAGTTACCTTATTTTATTTATTATAATGTATTTACATTGCAGCTTCCACCATGGACAAGGAGGTTGACATAGGGCTACCAGATAGTCTTCCGTCCAGGCACTGACCAGATTCAGATGTGCTTAGCTTCAGCAAGATGGCTGCACCATGTATCTCCAAAACCATATCTTGAGACCTATGATGTCAGCACTATGGGTTGGTCACCTCTGGAATCTAATCCACCACAACCCACATACTTCCTGAGCTCTGACTTCCTGGCCTTAATGACCATCTTCCCCTACACCCACTCTTCTCCCATGAAATCCAGGAGAACTCTCTGAATAACTGCCTGTCCCTCCCCTAGACATTCCCACTAACCTACAGCATCTTGCACTAGACAATTAGTAGTATCCTGATAGTCATTAATCAATCTGGTAATGGAGGGAATCAACTGGGAAAGGCAAATTTATTCCTTGTCCCATGGAAAAGTGACACTTAAATCTTGTAGACGCTCATGGTAAATTTGGTCAAAACATTCACTTTGTGCCTTAGTCAGGTGATTCTTCCAATCTCCAGAAATCCCTAGAAACCAAAATATAAAATAATAATTTATTAGAGTCAGACATGGCGGAGGAAGTACAGGTAGTCCTCAACTTACAACCACAGTTGGGACCAAAACTTCCATTGCTAAGTGATGTGGTCGTTAAGTGAGTTGCGTCCAATTTTACCTTTTTTGCCGCAATCATTAAGTGAATCTGGCTTCCCCCACTGACTTTGCTTGTCAGAAGCCCCCTGGGAAGGTTGCAATGGCAATCACGTGACCCTGGGACACTGCAACCATCGTAAATACATGCTGGTTGCCAAGCACCCGAATTTTGATCATGTGGCCACACAGACACTGCAACGGTTGTAAGTGTGAGGGCTGGTTGTAAGTAACTTTTTTCAGCATGTTGTAACTTCAAATGGTCATTAAACAAATGGTCATAAATCGAGGACTACCTGTACCACTATTTACCCAAAAGAAATAGGTTTTCCCCAGATAATTTGCCCTGAAATATAAGAGAATCGTCTTAAATTGGCTAAGAATACAAAAATGGAGACAGACAATATTTTTCTGTCTAATCTTACTTTTGGGGAGATTATCATCTTAAAATCAGGGTTGTTCCCTTTTGGGATATAGATCTCTTCTTGTGGCTCTTAAGAGACAGAAATATTGAGCAGTGAGTAAGAATGTTCCTGAAATTTTAATTTTATAGTTTGAATGTATGAATTATTGTTTCTTCTTCTACATGGAAGAAATGCATTTGGAGATCCCAGTTTTACACAGCATACCACTTGCCCCTTGACGTAGATTTCTTAAGAATGATTTCATCAAGACTGCTTTGTGGCTGTGTTTTATTAATGCAAATATAAGGGGGGAGGGAGGCCAAATGATCTGACTGCAAAGGAAAGGGCTCGTGTGTGAATTTTCTTAATTATTCAAGTTAAGCAGGGTCCCTCAAAGTACAACAGCCCTTGGATTGTAAAGCTAAGGATGAGTATCTCTACTCTTCTACCACTGACCAGGAACTGAGATACCTTTGAAAGTTGAATCCCTGCTTTCCAAAAAGAACATTGTTCCACAAGGTAGATCACTTTGATGACGACAGACCTGAAGACAATATGCCACAGGCTCATTTGTTGGCCAGAGAACGGGAGGAGGCTTGACTGTGTGATGTTATATGTGTGTGTCCCATTACAATTAATTCTCTATATTTAAGTCATTTTCACCAACCTCGTGCCCTGCAGTTGTGCCAAACCACAACCCCCACTATTCAGATTGGTGCTGTGAATCCTAGGAGTTGTAGTCCAAAGCAACTGAACCAGGCTGAGGAAAGCTAAACTTGAGGATCATTTGATTTCAACACAGTTTATAAATAAACAAAGTGGCACTAATGCTTCCAAAGGGATGCTAAGGTGAGTGAGATGAGAATCTCAGAAAGGAGCTGAGGGAACTAGGAGGACAGAAGAGGATCCTGCCAGGTCTTACAACTCAAAAACCCTGCAGCTAGCAAGCAAAGCATAGAGGTTGGGGGTTCAGTGGTATCCCCCTGAAAGATCACTCTGGGTGCGGCAAACCCAGATGGCAAGTTGTTCCCTGCTCTGTCCCTTCATCACCTTTGCGGAGGAAAGTACTTTTCTTTTGGTTCATGATGAAGTGCGGCGTGAGTGAGAAGTTGGACATCTTATTGCGCTTCATGGATTCGAAGGAGGCATTAGCAACCACGGAGTCGATGGCTGCATCATCTAAGTCTTTGCCTAAGAACTGGCTGATGCGAATAACACTCCCCCGCAGATCCTGGAGGACAACCAGACAAGACAGCCTGAAAACCACGCCGGAGGGCATACACCTGGCATTCTTAGTTCTGCTCAAAACAGAAACTGTTTCAAACTCAGTTTTAACTAGTGTGTCTCTTCCAAAGATACTGATGCCCTTACACAGTTGGAGGAACTCTAGTTCAGGGGAGGGGACCAAAACGATTATGCCCAGCATCTTCACAGCACTATTGTTTTCAAGACTGCTTTTTTCAGTAAGGCACCCAAACTCATTGACTAGGTTTATACATAGTGCTGAGCGATGTTTAACTGGGTGTCTTTTAATCAGCCCTGTTGGCTAGATCACCACTACAAGCCAAACCAAAACCAGACAAATGGAGGGTTTAGTACAAAGTCAGAATTCAGCCATTCTCTTTTTCAAAGTTGGTTTGATTTGTACTGCCTGAATCTGAGACACCCTAGACATAAAGACTCTGGAACCCTATCTTGACATCATAAACTTATTAACCCCCCTTCCTCCCCTGGAGGACCTAGCCAGTCAGATTCAGCTCCTCTTCCCTCCTGGCCTGGATCATACAGTGCTTACAATAATGGCCACTGCTGACCTCTATTGTCTACAGACAGGCATTTGGACCTCACAGATTCAATCTTCTGCATTCCCTTCTTTATTGGTAGGGTGTCATCATGTTAAAGATTTCCACAGTAAATGGACAACCGAGTTGTGTGTGTATTAAGGTTTGGCAGTTTTTTTACATATGCCTGTGTAAACATACACAATACAATAGAAGAGAATATCTGTAGCTCAGGGTTGAACCATGGAGTTCTTGGTGCTCTCTGAGCTTGGTTGTTTGCTTGCAGACATTTCATTACCCAACTAGGTAACATCATCACTGTTATCAGCAGCAAACCCACACTCCCTCGCACTGACGATGTTACCTAGTTGGTAATGAAACATCTGCAAGGAAACAATCAAGCTGAGAGAGCACCAAGAACTCCATATTTGTATGACAAAGTCAACCACAAACTAATGTTTTTTTTCATCAAGCAAAAAAAAAATCTAGATTGTGTGATTAGTTTTTGGTTCAGCCTTTTATCGTAAGTCAGAAAATTGGGTTAACTGTGTTTGAATTAACCATGAGTTTGAGTGCTGTGAGAACATGGGCATTCAAAGGCACTGTGATCACTGAACAAACAAGAAAACTTGACATTTTAATGTATTTTGCTTGAAACATAGCAAATAATCATAAACTCAGCCAGTGGTCTAGCAGAGAACAAGCTATGTCTTCATGCCACAAGAGGGGGAAAGTCTCCTCCACACACATTTTGCACCTTGGAGAGCATAAAGCATTGAACTAGCCAAGGATTTGTGAAAGCAGCACAATCACACATGCTGAATGCCACCGAAAGGATAATGTGAGAATTCCCACACTTTGTGATGACCTTTGGAGTCTGACTATCAGGCAAATCGAGGAACAGCCTACTCCTAGTGGTTGTATCTCTGCTCATAAAACCCAGCGCTGAATTTACTAGCAAAATAACATAATAACAACCTCTTGCAACTCCTCATACGTAATGAAGAAGAAGTTCTCTTTGTCCTTCAAGTTCATCCAACCTTTAACGTGGTCAAACCAGGATCCAAAAGGCACTGTAACCACAAGAGTAATTAGATGGGAACATTGAGACACAGGGAAAGGTGGAGATATGGGGAGGAAAGAACACCATAATTTCTTCTATACCCATTCCTTCATTGACTCACCATCTCCCTTTAGAAAGCCCTCAAGAAATTGATCCAAGGTGCCAGGATCTTTATAAGGGCGAAACATTGAAGCAAAATGATAGAGGGACACCAAGACATCTTTGGGGTTTCTGACTGTGTAGATTATCTATTTACAGAAAAAAGGGGGATGGTTGGAAGATGCCAAAAAATGAGATGCAACATCAGAAAATAACAGAGCCCATCTGGACAAACATACCCTCATTAAAATAGATTCTATTCCTTTCCCTGGTCTGCAAGTCAGCTATTGATAAACATAGGCAGGGCAAAATAATAATTATAATTAGACCTACTGTTTTACAATCCCTAATGTCTAAAGGCAGACCACTGGAAATGGAATGTGAGCCAAATGAGAAGCTTTTTCCTGAATTTGCTGAACTCAGACATCACACTTAAGTGGGACCACCAAATAAACTGTGGTTTGCTTTAGTGCAGTAGACCAGCATTTAAACTATAATTTGCTGTAGAGGCAGTATTTATTAGTGTTTTCCTGTCTTGTTTCTGACTTGTTTTTGTACCCCACCCAAGCCTCTAATTAATTCACAGGAGTACCAACAAAGCAACTAAAATGAGAGACAACAAATCTGAAATTGGCTAAACAAGTCATGCTAATGCTGCTCATCTGTAAGATGGACTCTGGCTTGTTTCTGGCTCACTCTACAAACCACAGTTACAATACACCATGACTTAGTACACCATGCTGGGCCTCAATCCTGACTGTGCTTAGTCACCTAAGCTTGCTGATGGAGCAACAGCAAGAGTTATGTTAAAATGGAAGTCTGCTGTGATCATAATTTCCTTCTTACCTTAGCTTTGGATTTGAAGAATGACTTTGCAAAAAGATGTGAAGGCAGATGGGAGCTAATAATGCGTGGTGACTTGTTGGCTAGAGCTGTTCTGTATCCTATCACTGTCTCGAACCAAGGACCTCGATCCCAGTTGGGGATGCTTTGGCACCAGGTAGGGTCTCCGTTGCTACGGATGAGACTTAAAATCTCCAGCATCCACACCGTTCCTAAGAAAGAGTCCCCAACCATTCCAAGAAAGCCATGTTTAATCCATCTGAATCCTGGTTACTTTATGCCCTTCATTATGTATATGTCCCATCTAAAAGTCAGGGTGATATGCACAGAGGATTTCGGTTATAGTTCTCCAACTGCTTAGTTCCAGCAAGAAGGTTGCATCATCCGCCTTCACGCTACTGAACTGGCCTATAGCCCTTAACTCCAGGGGAGGGAACCTTGCTTAGCTATTTTGATAGCTACCTGTTCTATTAATATTTAGCAAAATCATGCCAAAATTCTGGGTCTGGGTGGAATTGCCCAGGCCTAGTAAAGTCAAGATTAAATCAGCCTTCCCCAACCTGGTTGGCCTCTCCAGATGTGTAACAGCAATAGCCACACTGGCTAGGGAACTCTGGAAGTTGGTCATACATCTGGGGAAGACAGTGGTGAACTAAGGCCACTAGGTCATTTTCCATATTTTCCTTCTGTTGTTCCCTTGCTTCTTTAGGTACAATTCAAACAGGGCTTCCCAGAAAACTCTAGAATCCCAGCTGTACAATTGCTCAGTTTAATTCTGAACAAACAATTGCTTCTGTATGTAATTGCTGGGATAAAAGGGAGATGTTCAAAGAGTTCATCTCCTCCTTCCACAAGGAGACACCATAAGAAGACTCCTTCCATAAGAAAATTCCTGTCTGTGAAAGCCAGAAGGTTCCATCTCATCTGACCTCCTGCTTCTCATTGTGTCTAATCTGAAGTTTCCTGGATGTCTCTGTTTAATTTTCTGAAATTACAAGCATTTATTTCTATTTATTCTCATCACATGCCCTGTATATAATTATCTAAGCTCATATCATGTAACATTATCCATTTGCCTTTCTTAACTCCCTATCCCAGGGAGTTTCTGAACCTTGGGAACTTTAAGGTGTGTGGACTTCAACACCCAGAATTCCCTAGCCAACATGGCTGGCTGGGGAATTCTGGAAGTTGAAGTCCA